GAAATGTCACAGAGTCATTTAAACAGGCTTGTGTTTACCGCTCAGTTAGCTACTGTAAAGCTGTTTGGCAACAACACTTGTTGTCTTGCAACACATTAGCCATGACGAGAGCACTTCAAAACATTCATTGCTCACGTGTTTGAAATCAATCTCCTTAATTCACAGAATCGTATCTCCATCCTTCCAATAAAACTGATTATTTACATTATTTATACTAACAAAAATACCATGCCACTATCATGGGTTTGTTTGTTTGTTTTGTTTTTTGAATATGATAAATACCAAATGGCACACAACTAGGCAACCTTTCAGAAACAAAAACAAAAGATTAGCTGCGACAGAGCAGCAATTATCGGGGCTTATACTAAGGAAATATGTTTTGTAAAGATTTTTTTTACAGTTATAGCGCCACCTATGGTCCGATCTCCATAAAACTTTGCCTGCTTGTTTTATTTAGATAGTATCATGTGCTGCTCATCTAATTTTGTGAAGTTCTGAGTTTTCATTTAGTATTTATAGGCTTTTGAGTATGTTTTGCAATGCCCATTTTCTAAATTACCCTGTTATAGCTATCCAGTACGGTGGCCGAGACAGCTCAACGCGCTGCAACTGAAGCAAACACATGCAAATAGAGAAAAACGTGTGCAAATAGAAAAAAACGCATGCAAATAGAAAAAAACACATGCAAATAGAAAAACACGCGTGCAAATAGAAAAAAACACCAGCAAATTAAAAAAAAACATCTTCATCAGTTTCATAACACACGTGTGCTCCAAATAAGGAAACGCGCTGCAAAAGTTCACAACACAACCAAATACAAAAAAACGCGCGGAAATGTTTCCAGGGGAACCAAATAAGGGACGAACCCGGCTGAGACGTGCTTATTGCTCGTGAGCTTCCCTATGCCATACTCCCTTCGAAGGGCAGATCGCAGAGCCCTTTTGGAGTGAGCAAGGCTCTAGTGTGCTGTTAGGCAGCCGTGTGGAACGCACTTGATGAAGGGAGCAACGAAAGACAAAGTGGGATGTTCCCATGACAACGCAGCACGGTGTCCATCAGCTGGTCTTACGACAGAAATATGATGCTGTTAACATAACAGATGCAAATACATTTTTATTTTTGGTTTACAAAAAAAGCTTTTAAAATATGCGTTATATATCTGTGTCTCAACTTTAAAATTTTGGACCCTACATTACCTAACATTTCTTATGAAACTTTTCTTTATGAAAATGTAATAACATGAAACAATTTGTACAGTGTAACTGATGTATAGATAAATATCTTTCCTTCATGTTTTTCTTCTTTATCTTTTTTATTTATTTATTTTAGTTTCCAGCTCATTGTTCTTTTCTCATTTGTATTCTGATGACATTGAACATATTGTAAATACATTTTGTACATTGTATACAAGTTGTATGTCATAAAAAATTTAATCTCTGTATGTTTTGCAAAAACAAATAAAAAAATAAAAAAATAAATAAAGTATAATTTTAAGCTGTAAGCACCAGCACGCATAGATTTATGGATATCTATGCCGGCCATAGACAGTAAAAGAAATGGACAGAGCGATCTCATTGGAACTCAGTTGAGACAGTTGAAGCCCATTTTTAGCGATTTTTGAGAACTTCCATTCCTGACGCGCAGACTCAAACCGACTCAAACTAAGCTTGATGACGTGAGCAACCTGTCTGACAGACGTTAAACTTCTAGTAGCTGTGCGTGAAAACTGCCAACGTTAATCTTGCAGAGACGGGGAACTTGAGCAAAGAGTTCTTTGGCGTGAGTGAGCAGGAGTAAGTATTCCGTTGCTTTTATGGACTCATTATCTATGGGCTTCTCCCTTGACGGGACGTCCCCCCGATCGCCTGCGAGCTTCTCCTCCTGTCTGTACGGTAACTTCTGTACAGCGCGACAGAGAGTCGAGTGGTTATGACGCAATCGTTAGCCTATTTTTACTAAAACTGTTTCTACGGGGCCATAGTGTAACATAGAAGGTAATGGAGCCCTTTATACATTGTCGTGTTTCTTTAGAAATAAATAATGGACAAATGGAGTCTTTAAACGCCTCAGATGTAAAGTTATTCGCTGTCAAAGTGACGCAAAAATGAATGGGAGTCAATGGAAATGCTAACGCAAGTGAAGTTCTGCTACAACATGGCGGCACCCGGCCGGCTTCAACTTCCGGTCGATGGATTACCCCCTTGATGCCGGCACGTCCCAGCCGGGTTCGTCACTTATTTAGTTCCCCTGGAAACATTTCCGTTGTGCTCTGTGTTATTTGCAGCGCGTTTATGTATTTGGTGGTGTTGTGAGTATTTGGAGCACACGTCAGGGCCGGATTAACCATTAGGGCAACTGGGCACTTGCCCAGGGGCCCATGACATCTAAGGGGCCCTGGGCACCAGGGGCGGAGTGGCAATCGGGAGAGGCCGCGAGGGCCGGTCTGATAAAATGTATTCATTGCAAGTTCGCCATGCGCACTTGTGGCCCAAGCGAGGGGAAGGAAAAAAAATATTTTAGATAACGGAGCGTATATTTGCACTAAGTGCCTGTCTTTTTACCAAAAAGACGCCCGTCACGGGATAGCTACAGTGGCGTAGGTCGTAGCGCGCGAACTGCTTGATAATAGCTTTTGATGCGCTCGACCCGAGTTCGAATCCGCTTTTTGCCGAACTCTCTCTTCTCCCTTTTCCCAACACATATGAGATGTAAAATGTATAACCTAACATAAAGGTCTCTAGCGTTATATTTTGCCAACGAAATAAAATCAAAACCATGATATGGCTTTGTGCCTTTATAAAACAGCACAAGACTTTAAGAATAGGCATCCTGTGTGTGCTGGGTGATTTAAAGAAAAGTGTGCACTTTGCTCACGCGATCAGCATGGTTATCTGGTGTTTTCTCCTAAATAAAAGCTCAAGGGTTTCTTGCAAGTGAAGAAATTAGGACAAAAGTATTTTAATTTTCCTGTATTATAGTGTAATGTAGACTAAAATATACTTTTGAAATATTCATTTTCATTTATAGTACATTTATAGGCTATACGGATTTTACGTCATAGGAATAATTATATAAATCATTATTACAGTATTATAATAATTGTTTGGCATCCTAAAACACCATTAATAATGTAATGTAGACTGAGACTCTCATAACTAAAAAGATGTTTGAGCCCTCTTTATTGTTCTGGTACAAATCAATGCTTTTTCTTTGTTCAACGAGCAGTTCATGGGTTGAAGCTCTTAATTTTGATCTCTCAAAGAGCACCAGATTGATGCATTTAACCTTAAAATGTACAAAATTTTCTTGCGGGGGAGCATGCCCACGAACCCCCCTAGAGGCACAGAGGTCCACCCAACGTAGTTTTACAAATTCCTATGGGAAAGAACGACCATTTAGGAACTTTACTCCAGCATAGTACAACAAAGTTCCTTTTAAGTCAGTAGAACTGTAAATGCCATATTAAAATGTCCTTGGGCAAAATATACATTTGGCCTGCCTAAGAGGGGGCCTACAAGACATTGTGCCCAGGGCCCTCTGAACTCTTAATCCGGCCCTGGCACACGTGTGTTGTGAAACTGATGAAGATGTTTTCTTAATTTGCAGGTGTTTTTTTCAGTTGCAGCGCGTTGAGCTCTCTCGGCCACCGTAATCCAGAGACATTTTGGATAGCTATGTCTCTAGCTATCCAGAGACAAATGCATAAATGTACATTTACATGTATGCATTTGGCAGACGCTTTTTATTGGTTAGTGTAGTGAATAAAAGGGTACAAATAAAAGGGTAAAATTCATCCATTTTTTTTTATCAGGAAAAAACTAAATATGTCTGTGTGATCTGATGCACATGAGTGTTTGTTACCTGAATCAACTGGCAGAGAAGTCCAGACCAGAACAAATGCAATATGTTACACCAAAACATTAGAATATGCACAACATCACCCACAGATGTAAATATGTCAATCTTGGTCACATAAATGCAGCGTTTCTGTGAATCTACAACACAAGACGTCATAAACATCACATGTAAAAGAATGCTAGCAGTGACTGTGGGCGGCACTGAAGCATTCCTGCATATTATTTCATTTTAGAGAGTTATAATATGTAGATTAAAGTACAGCAATGAAACAGAAGACTTATTCATCAGATACTGAGCTCATTCGGACAGAGATTTGATTGTCATTTTGTTGACCATCCATTTAGAGTCTAAATGGATGGTCAACAAAATGACAACAGTGCAAAACAGCGCCCTCTACTGGCGCCTTTGACAACCAAAATACAAAAAGGCCGCATTTGATATTTTGGGGTTACTAAATAGTAATAAATACGATATATTTCTAACTTCGTCCACTAAATAAAAAGAAACAAGAGTTATGAGGAGTCACTTTACCTGAAGATATCATGTCCATATCATGTTTATCCTCCGCAGATGCCATGACAAACTTTAAAAAGGGCTTTAAGGATTTTAAAGTTTAAGGAAACCGTGTGTCTTTCACATTAACTCCCGGTTCTTGTCTTTAGGTTGACTGAAAAAAGAAAGAAAACAAGCAGCAAGAGAAAAACACCAGTCAACCGACGTTTCACATTTCCGGGTTTCTCAGAAGCAGAAGTCGTCATAGTTGGGTAAACATTAAATATATTTTTTTGTGTTCCCAATTGCTGAAATAGCAAAAGAAAAACTGCACAACAATGTTTTCACAACTTCCACAAAGAGGAAAAAAATAGAGAGAGACTGATAAAGACAACCGTCTCTCTCAGCAAGACCCGCTGTAACCCTTTCAAAGCAGCGTTAACTGTTTGATTTGATTCAACGGTAATATAATATTAAGTTTAGTGTTATAAATGTAAATACATTTTTCAAAAATGAAAATATAAAAACCATTGCAGGATTTACAATGCTCATCATCATGACCGTTAAACGCGTCATCATAGTTTGAGAAAATGGCGGCGCGTTCGCGACAAACGAACTACATTTCCCGAGTCTCTCCGAGGCGTGCGCCGTGACGTCAGCACGGCTGCTGTCAGTCAGACAAAGACAGTCAGTCAGTCAGTCAGGGCGAGTCTTCCTCACAACATCACATAAAATATCATCTTCATCACCTGACAGAGCGCATTAAATGATCTGCTGCGCTGAGATATTGTGTATTTTCCTCATTCCAGGTAAGAAAGGGGATTTGATTCCTGAGGACAGTCAGTTTTGTGCTGGCTCGTGCTAAGCTAACTAACGTTAGCCGCCTGCATAATTTAGTTCGTTTTGTTTATCTTGTTAACAACGCGCTTCGTGGTTTAATTTTAATCGGCATATGCATGTAGTTTAAATCGATATAAGCTTGTTTACCTGTCTAGATAGTTTATAAAGTAATATAATCGCCAATTAATTAGTTATTTTGCCAGTTTTCCCAGTGTGAAAGTGCTGAACTCGTGTATTTAACGTTATGTATGCATATTCTTCATATGTACTATTGAATATTCATAAACAATCATGCAAATACCCCATTGAGATTTATATATTTGCATGTGCTTTTATTTAAAACCCTTTTGGAGTATCTTTGCAGAGGTCAGGACACAAATGAGTCATGCGAAACTTGTTGTTTATATAGGTTGAAATTCCCCTATTTGAGTTACTTTATAAGCGCTTGTTTAATATGTTTAATAATATGTATTTCGTGTGCACGCTGGCTGTCTTTTTTCTAATGCTGGATAAGCAGTTATTTTTCATGCATAGAGATGAAGGGCGTAGATTTGTGCATTTATCACTATCATATGACATGCATTTAGAAAATAATCATATTTTAAACACCGTCTGGACTTTCTAATGCAATGCACAGATGGAAATGATTTAAATGACCGTGATTTGTCAATAATCCTCATTGATCATGAGTTTGCTGCATGGAGTTGTTCTGATCTGCATTCATAACTTGAATTTCCAGTGTCTGTCTGAGGATATGAGGATGCATGGAAAAAGATTTATTTCCTCTTGTTGGGATACATCCTTTTGCATGCTACAATTTATAAAAACTCCTGGTTTTAAACTCTGGAGGTCATTTGCAACACCTAAACGAATAAGCAAGCAAGTAAGCAGTTAAAATTAATTTGTCCCCTTTTGTCAGTGTATATTAACTTGTGATGTTTTAGATATCGCAGGGTTTAAAGGTTAGATTTACATGTTTAAGTCTGTAAATGTGCCAAACCATAACTCTCAAACTAGTTGCTGAAATGAATAATTATTTACACACAGTTTACAACTAATTGTTGTTAGATTTTGGAAACGACAAATGGAGAACATGGCTGATGTTGATCTGTTGTCAAAACAAACAAATACGTTTTTACAGTGCAAAAATCCACACATTTTCCACCCTGCAGAATTGTGTTGCATGACGTCCACGTCTACATGAGTTATTAAATGAAAAGAAGAAGGGCACATGGATTCTCATGTGGGTTATTATTTAAAGCTTTCAGTGAACTCCTTTGACTTGCCTGGATGCAGTCAGATGAGCTGATGCACGTGTGCATGCGGTGCAGGTCTAAAGAGCCCCGCAGTGAACGCCTGCAGTGTTTAATGCTCCAGTGCAGGGTTTACGCGTTTAAGAGCGCCACACGAGCACTAATGCAGCAGGGCGTATGGGTGAAACCCCCTGTCAGAGAAGGATCGCATGCATGACACACTGTGAGGGCTTTTATCATTCTGTATCGCTTTCATTGCGCACACAATTTCTGTCTCAGTCAAAGCCTCACAGCGATGTATTTTTAGAAACCCACAGTGGCTGCCACGTTCCTATCTCAGACTTTTATAAGGATCATCTGAGATCTAAGTGGAAGCAATTATGCAGTACAAGAGCTCACTGAGCCGTTTTTTTAGTGGCAAGTGCTTCTGCTCCAGCTGTGCAAGGTTAACGGTTAACTTGTGCAAAAACAGTAGGTCTGGGATAATGCCACATCGGTGAGGAATTTCACAGCAAACCAGCAGCGCAACTGGGATGGTTAAGTTATAGGAGTTACTAAGTTGCCACAAGGGCTCTGGGTCACCAGTTTGTTATTAACCTTTCCATCCATTTTTCCGGGAACTGTAGCACGAAGATAAAATAAAGTAGGCACGTATCACTATTATTGCTCATGTTACTTGACAGATGATAAAATAGCAAAAAAATGGTTTTAACATGCAGTTTATGTTCAGCATAAGTGAGAGCACGGTTAAAATGTAACCTATAACCTGGTTGGCTAGTCATCTATTACCTGTAACCTGGTTGGCTAGTCATCTATTACCTGTAACCTGGTTGGTTAGTCATCTATTACCGCCTGGTATTAATAGACCCATGCATAACTATTAGCTTAATATAACCTCCTAATCTAGAGCACATGGTTTTAAACAAAACATGCTCCATATTTGCATTCTGCGCTTTAATCTGGAGTTACATAAACTCCATACTCATCCGTCATTGGGTGGTATGGTTTCCTTGACAACAGCGACAGTAATTGCTCGTGCTTGCTGATGAAAGCCGTCTTGGATAAACAGAATTTTAAGTAGGTCAGATGAATCCTGCTTTTATCATCATAACTCGACTGCCATGAGATGGCGGAACGCTTGAAATTATAATTAATTTGTCTTAAGATCTAAGTGAATTGTGGGCTTGTTCAGAATAGCGCATTTCCTATAGATGGTTCACAGTAAGCAAACGAAACCCTCGATAAAAACATGCAATGCATTCGACCTTCTGTTTCTAACGTGACAGGGTTCAGAGTATAACAAGTGACTTTTAAACTGGTACCTAGTTCAAAAAGTACAATTCAGTAATCGAGTGAGTCATTGGATTGATTCACCAGTAACTAATGCCTTTAAGAGTAATTTGTGAATCTGTTTTATTAAAGAGATCCAGTGCCTAAAAGTCATTTCTTTGAGTGTTTAAAGGTTCAGCAAAGATGCTGAGTCGCGGTACAGGAAACACTGACTTAAACTGACTATGCAGATATGCTCAACCCAACAGATCACTCAGATCATTAGGATCACATCAGCTAGAAATACAAAGGGTTCACTAAGCATGGTGAGTCCGCTTTTAGCTACTATGAACCAGCTTCCAGAGGAGATCAGAAGGGCTCCTACAGTCACATTCAAATCCAGACTCAAAACACATCTGTTTATCTGTGCATTTACTGAATGAGCACTGTGCGTCCGACTGATTACACTAGATTTTATTTCTTTTATTTTGATTCTAAACTGAGCTCAAATGGCACTGATTGATATGATGAACCGGTGTTTTGCACTCAATCCTGTGGTGGAGTTTGAGAGGGATTGACTCATGACGGTCAAGGGAACACTGTGTCACTAGATTACTGGTCTGGATTGGTACAGATTACTAATCTGGTGGGCTCAGATAATCCACAGAAGAACACTGACCGTCATGGGGAAATCTCAGAGACAAAATAAGATACACCGGTGTTTTGCCAGATGAGAAGTTTATTCTATATATCATCTTTTTACTATTTTAATTCATTTTACTCTAATTCATTATATAACTGTATCATTTATCTCCTTTAATTGACCGTTCGCAAAAGCCACGCCCCCTAGTTATTGTTACTACGCCCGTCAAACAAATGGTCAAACACGACCAGCGCGACAGATTGCCATGACGTGAAGAGGTAGCCTATACCCGTGCATGTCAGTGACCTTTTTTGGAGCAATACCTCCGCGATATACTCCAGATCGAGGCAAAAGGCGTTACAGTATGCAGTGGAGGGATATATTCAAAATATAAAAATACACAATGAGGGAGACACACGACTACTATTGAGGCTAATGCTTACCGGTCTCAAGCGAAATCTGAGAAACCCCATGACCTGTACCTCAAATGCAACCAGCACAGCCTTGAAGAAGATTTTATAAGCTGGTTCAGTGGCTAATTGTTTGGAGTTAGAAATATATAACTCGCGCTGCATATTTAGTAATTTTGCCTCAGATACAGGATTATACATTCGCTTTAACAAGCAGGTTGTTCATTACCACGGCAACCGCTTGCGTGTCATGCTGAATGCGATTTCCGTGTTTAAAAAGTAACTATACATAAGAGAACTATACATAACTATACATTCCTTTGTGGATCCTCTTGATCTGCTTTCATAAGCTGTAAGCCATAATCATCAAAATTATAACAAATAAAGGCTTGAAATATCTCACTTTGCATGTAATGAGTCTATATAATATATTAGTTTCACCTTTTAGGTTGAATTACGAAAATAAATGAACTTTTGCACAATAATCAATTTTTTCGAGTTTCACCTGTAAAATAAAAAAATGTTGTACCTTTTTTTTAACAATAGGGAGCATGCATGTCCTACTACACAGTATACAGTTCACAGACTGACAATTCGGAATGTAGCTTCAGTTTGTTTCTTCTCCTATAATGTCCATTGATGCACATGTGATTGTGTATTGAGCTACAAATCAGCAATAACGTTTGTTTCTGTGTCCCATCAGAATGTCTCACTACACAGATGAGCCACGCTTCACCATCGAACAGATCGACCTGCTCCAGAGACTGCGGCGTACAGGTATGACCAAACCCGAGATCGTGCACGCCCTGGACACCCTGGAGCGACTCGACCGCGAGCACGGGGACAAATTCGGCCGGCGCGGACCGTCGGACTCCAACGCCACCACCTCCAGCACTACACCCACCTCAAATAACACTAGCAGCGCCACTTTGGCAACCTCCTCCACCACTTCCACAGCGACGCAGACGCAGTTCCACGGTAACTTATCGCCATCGCCCAACAACAGTTATGCTACATCTCCGCCCGCCGTTTTACCATCGCCGGTGTCTCTGGTCGCCATGGTCCAGAATGGGCGGGACGCTTTGGCGGCCACACCCAATGGGAAACTATCACCGAACCGTTGCCCGGTAAACAGTGCGGCGGCAATGAGGTCGTACGGGCTGGAGGGGTCAGAGGAGGACCTGGATATAGACGACAAGGTGGAGGAGCTCATGAGGTCAGTGCGGGTCAGGGTTATCATAGTTAACCTTAACTGAAAACATTAGCAACATTTTCAGGCTTGAAATAAAATTAAAGTTAACTGTAATAAAATAAAATATATATAAAAAAAACCTTAAATCTGTTTTATGTTAGCTAATTGTCAAAGCAACATTTTCATTTAGTCTAACTTTATTTACTAAAATAACTGAAACTTTAATAAAAACTTAGACTATATTGTTTTTTTTCATTCATATTAAAAAAGTATTGTTTTTAACAATAGGGAATATACAGTATGTTCTAAACAGTATTTTTAGTTTTACTAGCGTTTGATCTATATGGATTTTGAATAATTTTATATAAATATTTGTATAAAGTTGCACATAATAATAAATAGAAAAATAATTTTATGTATTTATTTTTAAATAGGCCTACATTTGCAAACATTTTAGTTGCAGTCTGAAGCCCTGAGATAAATGAACCAAAAAAAAAAATATATATATATATATATATATATATTTCAGCTATTTGTCAAAGCAACAGTCTTCCGGTTTGTATTTCCTCAGCATGAAGGTAAGATCTTACGCAGGGTTCCCGCGGATCCTTAAAAAGTCTTAAATTAGATTTTTAAAATTTAAGACCATAAAAAGTCTTATAAAGTCTTATTTTTACTTATGAAAGGTCTTAAATTTTAGATGACACTTTGACTTAGACATATATAAAAGCTTTCCAAATTAAAACTATCTAATTAGCGTATGTATTTTTATTTATTTATTATTCTATCTTTGTGGATTTGCTAGTTCACGTGACATTTCGCGTCACTCGCGAGTCGCGGCAGCATAACTGTCTCCTGCACGCGAGAGGAGAGAAAGAGAAGAGAGGTCGTAAATGTCAGTTCAGTTGTAAGTTCATTCTTTATGTGCGTATGGTGTGCGATGTGTATTGTCTATTATGATATTGTAATCATTGTTTTAACAATGTACGAGGCACTGCGAGCTGACATCGCATTTGTCTCGTGCTTTCACTGCGTGATGTGTGCAGTGTAACGGTTAACTGTTATGTCCCCAAATTAGTTTTTGTCTTATATTTATATCATATTATGTTCTTATATTAGAATATCACATCAGAAAGAGTGCCGTTGTCCCGTGCACGATTCCAAGTGTGATATTGTTAATTTAACAGTTGTATAATATAAATAAGTTAACATTGAAACTACTTTTTAGACACAATATTGTTTATATTGTTTGTTTTCCCTTTATTTCGCCGACTATCATTTCAAAATGAAACCGTAGCAGAGTCTCAATGCAACCGACAGCGATGATTTCTTGACTGAAATCCGCGTTTTGAACGAATCACTTGCTTCTTTCCCGAATGAATCAGCCGTTTGAACGAATCGGTTGAATGAATGACTCCCTCAACTCACTTATTAAGACTGATTTGCCGCTGCGGTTTCATATTTAAAGTACCCTTTAAATAAAATGTTAAAATTAGAAATCATTTCATATTTAAATATTGAATATTGATTTAAAAATATATATCTCATAGCTTTATTTATGCAGTTGTAAATGGAGTGTAAATATATTAATGCCACTTCTGATGCAGCTTCTGTCACCTCTGCACTGCAAAGATGGATTTTGATTAAATGATTTAATTTGACTGGTAACAGTGGTACTGTATGATTATTATATAATTAAGTATTATTGTATAATTACTGTATAATTTAATTTGAATGATAGTATTTGACATTAAAGGTGATGCATAACTCTAAATAAGTTTAGAAAAAATGTCCATATATAGGTGAAAATGCCCCTGAAAAAATCAATTTAAGGTGGCAAATATTGCCCCTTAATCAAAATATTAATTTCTGTCACTGCTGTGAACCGACCACTGCATAGAATATGAAAAATATGAATATCTTCGTGAGTCAGCTGTCAACAACAGACCTAAACCAGCCATGGCACCAGCACAAAAACACAATCAGTAAAATATCATCTAGTTATTATCAACAAAACGTTAAAAATATCAAGATATATTTGTCAATACTGCACAGCCCTAATGTACGGTATTAATTTTGATTTCTTAAGGTCTTAAAAAGGTCTTAAAAAGCCTTAAATTTGACTTTCAAAAGTGTGCAGGAACCCTGTTACGGATTTATGAATGAACCGCTTATTTTAAAATCTCCCCGGTCTGATATTTGTCATAATATCCGCTTCAAACATTACAATGATCATAAAACTCGACAATAAGTAAATCCACTTCACCAGCGAATTACTCTTCGACAGCGATGCCATAGACATACAGAGCAACCGCAAAAACAGAAGTTCAAACAAAGTCCTAGAGATGGCCGTGCGCTTGTTTCTCTTCTCCATAAGGTCTATACTGTAAACTGAGAAACTATAATAGTATCTCAGTGATACTAAACTATCTCTGGTGTGGGTCAACTCAAAACCAATTCAAACTCACTCTGACCTGAATTTAACACTATCAAATAGTGATTGTGTTTACCAGGTGTAAACAGAGTCATTTTGCTCTGAGACCATCTGCGATGAGTTTGATAATCTTCACATACGTCATGTTTGCGTCCTGTGATGTGTGCAGGCGGGACAGCACCCTGGTGAAGGAGGAAATCAAAGCCTTTCTGGGCAACAGACGCATCTCTCAGGCTGTGGTGGCTCAGGTCACAGGTCAGTCCGTCATCACCCTATTACCCCAATTTGTAAAAACATGCAACAATTACAGGAATGCACATACAATGTAAATCTAATGGGGCTAGACATTGCACTGGAATAAACCTTTTTTTTATTATATATATATATATATATATAATTTTTTGTTGAGCACCCAACTTGAGCAACATAGTGTTTTGCTGTGGATGTACGTGCTTTTGGATCTGATTTTACTGGAATAAACATTCAAATACACACAATTTTAAAAGAGCAGCCACAAGCCAAAAACATTGGGATGGAACTATTACAAGGCTCGGCAATAAGGACTCAAGGTCATTATTTGCGGACATTTTCAAGTCTTGCTAATTTCAACATTCAAGCAATTTTAAGCATTCAAGCACAAGAAGATGTGAAAGAGAACTCAATTCTTATAGATGATTTTCCATGCACACGTCTGAAAGCCGCCTCATTACTTTTGCATTACAAGTTTTTAGAAATATTGTTAAAATATGCAAATAATGCATTATCCGATTATTAAATATGCACTCATTTGCATAAAAAGCCAGAACAGAAAGACAGATCAGGATCAGAAGGGGATTTTGGATATCTTTTTATAAAAAATAAAGAAAAATACTGTCATACTCATTAAAATGATAGATACTGTATATCAGGCAAATGATATATAAATAAATCCCTCTGTAAAAACATTCAGAATAGACACGCAAAAATTCTACAGATTCAATCTACAGACGCAAATACATAGTGTAATAAAATAAAGACTTAAAAGTGTATTTTGGATGTTTCTTTCCACTAGTCTAAAAGAAGATGAAGCAAAATTATAGCCCAAAATCTAACAATGTATTAAGGTTTTTTTTTTTTCTGGGATTCTGTGTCCTTAAAGATTGAATGAATGAATAACAATTGACCAGTGCCTGGTATTAGTATTAATTTATATTTAAATTATACAGTGAAGTATTGAAAAAAAAAACAATACTTAGCATTGGCGCCTGTAGTGTGATAGAATCACTTATCCTATCCAGAAGTGTATTAGCCAAGAACAGTAGTCCCACTACAAGAGGGTTTAGATTCAAAGCTCAAATGACACTAGTTTCGGTCCATGATTCTGATTGGTTGAGCCGCGTTTGAAGCCGTACCTGCACCGTACCACTCTACCTGTGACCTCATTACATCAGTATTACTGTGCCACTGCGTAAATAAATATTTTTATGGACTAGCAACAATTTTGTTTATTGTTTTATAAAAGCAATACGCCCTGTGAAGCCGTGGTTTACAGTGAACTTAGAACAGCTAAGGGCCGTTGTTTGGCACAATGTAGAGCGGAGATTGGGGCTTATTGCTTTATTTTGCATTTGTACAAGCGAAGTCAAAATGATTGTCTGTGGTAATTGGCAGCATGCCACAGTGATTGACGAATATTCCAGTTTCAAAACATCATCTGTGTCCTAAACAGGTGTGATGTGCCAAGAGATAAATCTTGTTTTTCTTCCCGAAGAACCACAACTGCAACAAATGTCTAGATCGTTTTATCTTGTTCCACATAGCTTTATATTTAAACACGATGTCCTGATTAACTAAGATTTTGTGGCTTCATAGCATTTTGCTTTTAGTGAGGACAGAACAATAATGTGCAATAGATTTAACCCTTGTGTTCTGTTCGATTTCTGTGTACACCCCTTATGGACCGGGTCAAATTGACCCTAATTGGATTCAATACAATTCCTCAAAAATCACACTATGAAAAACAAAAAAGATTTAGATACAAACTGTAAACTTTTAATATCAACATTTGTCAAACATTACAAAAACATTATATCTGAAAATATGATTTATGAAAATGTTTTTAAAACATTTTTTAAAACAGTTTTGTTTTGACAAAATTGAAAAATAAACAGTATACTGATTTTTTTTTGCATATATATATATATATATATATATATATTTTTTTTTTTTTTTTTTTTTTTACATTTTATGTTTTGAACATCGTAACTGAACAAAAAAAATTGTTAACTTTACCTAGTTTCCTAAGACCTACTTTCCTAGTTTCATTATTCACTCACTGGGAAGTGAGAAACCAAACATAACAAAAACATACATCAAAAAAATGTTTTTTATTTATTTTTGGCTCTGTGAAGATGCCTTTGAAAATCCTACATAAAAGTTTTGGTTAAAAACTAGGTATTTTAGATATTTTGAATATTGAAATGAGAGCTTATTTTACTATCTGTGTCTGACAAAGATTTTCATCTGTAATTTGCAAATAATTCTGAACACTGTAATTTTAGCTTTTTCAAGTGTGTTTGGTTAGGGTTAGAGCACTTTTAGATGCACTTGCACGTTAGAACTGGAGTTGAAGTGCCCTTACATACAGAAAATAAATGTTTTTATTTTGTGTCTGTACAGTTGCTTTTGAATGGCTGTCTATGAGGGTCAAATTGACCCGCGAACATCACGAACGTAACAGTAATTTTGTTTGTATATGTCAAAACACATCAGCATGTTGAAACTTTGCATGCATGTTCATCATGATAAATGAGAAAAAGTCACAAAATATCAAGAAAAAAAACAAAGGTTAACCAGTATTTCCAACAACTTGAAAATCGAAACGGGTCAAATTGACCCGCAACATAACACAAGGGTTAATCATAATTACTAAACAGAAATAAAATTATGAATGTTCTGTGTGAGATGACCTGTCATTATTCTGACCATTCTTTCATCAACCAGTGCATTAATTTGTTATTGATTTGTGATCTCTTTCTCTGTGTCAGGCATCAGTCAGAGCAGAATCTCTCACTGGCTCCTTCAGCAGGGCTCAGATCTCAGCGAACAGAAGAAACGAGCTTTCTACCGCTGGTACCAGCTTGAGAAGACCACGCCAGGTTAACAAACTTCACTCGCTTTGAATTTACTGTAGGTCGGTAGATCCACAAAGATAAGGTTGAATCAAGTACAGGCTGAATTGTTTATGTACACTAAAAGTTTTTTTTTTTTTTGAAAGAAATTAATACTTTTATTCAGCAAGGATGCATTAAATTGATCAAAAGTGGCAGCAAAGACATTTATAATGCTACAAAAGATTTCAATTTTAAATAAATGAGTCTTTTGAACTTTCTATTTATCAAAGAATCCTGAAAAAAAGCATCACAGCACTGTTTTCAACACTGATAATAATCAGAAATGTTTCTTGAGCAGCAAATCATCATATTAGAATGATTTCTGAAGGATCATGTGACACTGAAGACTGGAGTAATGATGCTGAAAAAAATTCACAGGAGTTTTAAAATATATTTAAATAAGACAATATAGCCGTTTTTACTGTATTTTTGATCAAATAAATGCAGCTTTGGTGAGCAGAAGAGACTTCTTTCAAAAACATTAAAAAGAAAAACCTTACATATATATTTTCAGGTGCCACACTAAATATGCGACCCACCCCTGTATCCCTGGACGAGATGGAGTGGCGTCAGACTCCGCCCCCCATAAGCTCCGCCCCCCGGAAGCTTTCGTCTGCGCAGAGGCAGTCGATTCACCTGGAGGAAGGAATGTCTTGCTGTGATGGAGAGGTGAGAGAGAGAGAGAGAGAGAGAGAACGAGAGAGAACGAGAACGAGAACGAGAGAGAGAGAGAGAGAGAGAGAGAGAGAGAGAGAGAGAGAGAGAGAGAGAGAGAGAGAGAGAGAGAGAGAGAGAGAGAGAGAGAGAGAGAGAGAGAGAGAGAGAACGAGAGAGAGAGAGAGAGAGAGAGAGAGAGAGAGAGAGAGAGAGAGAGAGAGAGAGAGAGAGAGAGAGAGAGAGAGAGAGAGAGAGAGAGAGAGAGAGAGAGAGAGAGAACGAGAGAGAGAACGAGAGAGAGAGAGAACGAGAGAGAGAGAGAACGAGAGAGAGAGAACGAGAGAGAGAGAGAACGAGAGAGAGAGAGAACGAGAGAGAGAGAGAGA